ACACACACACACACACACACACACACACACACACACACACACACACAAAGTAAATAAATATAATAAAAATTTTAAGAAAATTGCAGGTCCGTATTGTTTGATGGAAAATGGAGGGTAAGTTAGGATTTGGTACATAGCGGGAAGTGTGGCTACAGAAGAATGTGAAGAGCAGCCTGTGTCTTGACTGCAGTGGTGTTTGTTCAAAGCTGTGTGACACAGTTGCAGTGAATTCCATGATGCACACACGGCTGATCAAACCGGAGTCAAGTGCTGTTGTTGGCAACAGTGCAGTTTCCTAGTTTTGTTTTCATGCTAGCATTATGTATGACGTTAGCACAGGTGGAAGGTGCTTGGGCATGTCAGCATATTTCCATGGACTCCTTGTCAGTCCGTGACTTTGCAGAATAATGCAGGCGCCCCCATGTGCTTCTGTGGTCATCAATTCACAGCTGCTTCAGTTGCACTCACGTCTCCTTGTCTCTAGAACAAGCTATATGGAAGCAGTTCCCAGATGCCATATCATTCTGTCCATAAACATTTCAGTAAAATTAAGACTTTTTATTTTTTACAAAGAAGCTCAATTCTATGGATAATTTTAGTGTGGCCATTGTCTGGTCACATTCATTTACACAGTTATTTTTTATTCTCCTTTGCAGGTTTTCCTTTTTCAGCCTTCTTTCCTTTCTTATCTTTTGGGGAACCTTTTCCCTTTTTTCGGGCTTTTAGTAGCTCTTCAAAGGACCCAAATCCTTTCCGCACCATGATTCCACGCCACCACGCCTGAATCTGAAAACAAGATAGACCCCCCCAAGTCGGCATTAGTTGGAGTTATGATTGCTATGGTCTGGCTGTGGCTTATTCCTCAAAACATGTTGAAGGGTTGAGGGCATGCAGTGGATGAAAGCACTGCTGTGTGAGTGTGAGGGCCTGAGTTCAAATCCCCAATGCCCTATATTTAATATGCCTGTACTTCCAACTCTGAATGGCACACTGGGCAAATCCGGAGAGCCCACTGGCCAGCCAACCTAAATGAAATGGTGTCCTTCAAGTTGGCAGAGCGACTTTGTCTCAAGGCAATCAGGATTTTGGCTGGTAGAGGGCTGGCCCAAGTATACATGGAGTCCTGTGACTGATTCCTAATACCGCTTAAGCTGGTTTGGTGGTCTGTGCCTAAAAGCATAGCAGTTTGAAGATAGAGCTAAGAGGATCAGAAGTTTAAGGATATCCTTGGCTAAGTATTGAGTTCCAGGTCATTGAATTTAACCCTCATAACTGAAAGGAGAACATGTCTACATAGGTACAAAGCACCAAATGGAGTAGGCCAGAAAAGAAAGTCCCCTCACCATATAATAATCAAAACACTAAACATACAGGGCAAAAAAAAAAAAAAGTATATTAAAAGTTGCAAGGGAAAAGGGCCAAGTAACATATAAAGACAGACCTATTAGAATTACACTCAACTTCTCAACGGAGACTCCAAAAACCAGAGGGCCTATACAGATGTCCTTAGACTCTAAGAGGCTACAGATCAAATTAAATGGAGAAACTCAAAGCAATTCCCCTAAAATCCAGAACAAGACAAGGCTATCACTCTGTCTCTATCTATCTATTCAATATAGTAACCGAAGTTTTACCAGGAGCAATAAGATGACCAAAGGAGATCAAGACGATACAATTTGGAAAGGAAGAAATCCAACTATCACTATTTGCAGATGATATGCTAGTATACATAAGCAATTATAAAAAAAAATCTACCAGGCCTGTGGAGAATGAAACACCAGGCAAGGACTGGACCCAGGCTTTCTACAAAGACGTAGTCGATGGGCAGCTCAGTCCTTATATGGGTTCCCTAGTAAGGGGAATGAGGGCTGACTCTCACATGGACTCTGTTGCCTGCTTTTTGATTACTTTCCCCTTGTGGGGCTACCTTTTCAGGCCACAGGGGAAGAGGATGTGCTCAGTCCTGATGCAACTTGATGAGCTGGGGTGTGTGTGTGGGGCAGGGGGGATCTCTCTTCTCTGAAGAGTAGAAGAATGGGGATAGAAAAAAACAGGAGGGAAGGGTGGGACCAGGAGGAGAAGAGGGAGGGGGCTATGACCGGGATGTAAAACGAATAAATAAAAAAGAAAAAAAAAAGAAAAAAAAAAAAAGAAAAAGAAACCTACCAGGGTACTCCTACAGCTGATAAGCCTCATCAGTGAAGTGTCTGGGTATAAAATTAATTAAAAAAAATTAGTAGCCCTCCTACACACAAATGAAAAACAGACTGAGAAAGAAATCAGGGAAACAACACCCTGCTCAGTAGCCACACATAATATAAAATATTTCTGGGTAACTCTAGCCAAGCAAGTGAAAGACTTGTATGATAAAAACTTCAAGTCTTTGAAAAAGGAAATTAAAGAAGGTATCAGACGATGAAAAGATCTCCCATGTTCATGGATCTATAGGAGTAACATAGTAAAAAAGGCCATTCTACCCAAAACAATCTATAGATTCAGTTCAATCCCCATCAAAATTCTAACAGAATTCTTTACAGACCTCGAAAGTACAATACTCAACAAAAAATGAAAAAACAAAAAATCCAGTGTGGTGGTTTGAATAGGAATGGCCCCAAAGACTCCTGTATTTGAATGCTTGACCCATGAGGAGTGGCACTTTTGGGAGGTGTGGCTTTGCTGGAAGTAAGTGTGGCCTTGTTGGAGGAAATGTGTCACTGTGGGGGAGGGCTTTGGGGGCTCCTATGCTCAAGCTCCACCCAGTGTGAAACACAGCCTCCCGCTGCCTGTGGATCAAGATGGCCCTTGCAGCACCATGTCTGCCTATGCACTGCCATGCTTTCTGCCATGAAGATAATGGATTGAACCTCTGAAACTGTAAGCCAGCCCCAGTTAAATGTTTTTCTTTATAAGAGTTACCTTGGGCTGGAGCGATTGCTCAGCAGTTAAGAGCACTGACTGCTCTTCCAGAGGACCCAGGTTCAGTTCCCAGCACCCACATGGCCCCTCACAACTGTTTGTAACTCCAAGATCCGACACCCTCATCCAGACATGCATCCAGGGAAAAACACCAATGCACATAAAATAAAAAATAAAAAATGAAGAAAACAAACAAAACAAATTTTAAAAAGCATCACCTTAGTCATGGAGTCTCTTCATAGCAATAAAACCCCAACTAAGACACCAGGATAGCTAAAACAGTCCTGAATAATGAAAGAACTTCGGGAGGCATCACCGTCCCTGACCTCAAGTTGTACTACAAAGTTATAGTAATAGAAACCACACAGTAGGTTGATCAATGAAATTAAATCAAAGACCCATAAGTAAATCTACCCACCCACAAACACCAGATTTTTGATAGAAAAGCCAGAAATGCACAATGGAAAAAAAGAAAGAATCATCAACAAAATGTGCTAGTCTAACTAGACATCAGCATGTAGAAGAATGTAAATTGACCCACATCTACCACCCTGCACAAAACTCAAGTCCAAGTGGATTAAAGACCTCAACAGAAAACCAGATACTCTGAACTGATAGGAGAGAAAGTGAGGAATACACTTGAACTCACTGGCACAGGAGACAACTTTCTGAACAAAACATCAACAGTGCAGGCACTAGGATCAGTGATTAATAAATGGGAACTCATGAAACTGAAAGGTTTCTGTAAAGCAAAGGACACAGATACCTTAGAGGAAAAGGCAGCATACTGAATGGGAAAAGATCTTCACCAACTCTATATCTGACAGAGGGCTAATATCCAACATATATAAAGAGCTCAAGAAACTAAGCATCGACAAACCAAAAATCCAATTAAAAATGAGGTACATAAGAGAGAATTCTTGACAGAGGAATCTCAAGTGGCTGAGAAGCACTTACAGAAATGTTCAACATTCTTATCCATCAGGGAAATGCAAATCAAAACTACCTTGAGATTCTGTCTTACACTATCAGAATAGCTAAGATAAAAAACACAAGGAACAGCTCATGCTGGTGAGGATGTGGAGCAAGGGGAGCACTCCTCCATTGCTGGTGGGAGTGTAAATTAGTATAGCCACTATGGATATCAATATGGAAGTTCCTTACAAAATTAGGATTCAGTCTACTTTAAGGCCCAGCTATACCATTCTTGGGCATATACCCAAATGATGCTCAGTCTTAACACAAAGACACTTGCTCAGCCATGTTCACTACAGCTCTATTATAATAGCCAGAAACTAGAAACAACCCACATGCCCCTCAATAGAAGAATGGATAAAGAAATTGTGGTATATTTACACAATGGAATACCACTCAGCTATTAAAAAGAAGGACATCCTGAAATTTTCAGGCAAATGATAGAACTAGAAAAGATCATCCTGATTGAGGTAATGCAGACCTAGAAAGACAAACATGATATGTACTCACTTATAAATGGACATTAGCTATAAAGTAAAGGATAATCATGCTACAACCCACAGATCCAGAGAGGCTAAGTAGCAAGAGGAGGTCTGAGGAAGGGGAGGGGATTGGGGTGAGCATTATCAAGATGCATCATATACATACAGAAATTGTCTAAGAGTACATTTTTAAAAAGGGGATTTGTGCTGAGTCTACCTTTGTGGCCATTTGTTTTTTAATTCTGTTTTCCTTCAGGTACTTCCATATGGCTTCATTGCCTTGGTCACACACTTCCATTGGAGGGTCTTGCATGGGATTTTTTGTCAGTGTTAGGACCTTAAGATTTATCAGGTGGTCAAGGTCGGATGGCAGGCGGATAAGCAAGTTGTCCTCCAGCAACAGCTCCCTCAGACCTGGAACGATTTTCATTTTAATTGGTTCATTTAGCTTAGAATCTCAGTACCTAAACTTACCCAGGTGAGACCCACTGGTAAGTGGATGGAGCATCCGGCAGGCACAGAAGCCATGGCTGCTTCTTCCATCTTATCTGTGTCTGCTCTTCCACAACCTAGGAGGGCCCAGTCCATTCTTGCTAAATGGGAGGCTGAATTGCTAAACAGCTAAGGAAGGCTGCAGTCAGACAATACTTGAGTGCTTGGCATCAAAAGTGATTATCTTTTCTAAGTCGATCATGTAATTTAAAAATCCTATTTGTTGATTTGTTCATCATTCTGGGTCAGTAATTTATCTTTCATTCAAATGATTTAGTAACCTACATAAATATTTACATCAGCACCCCAACTCCAAATGCAGTCAAATCATATGCACTCAGTTTCTGCTGATGGTGGCTGTATACTAATCTTCTTTCCTTGTTCCTTCCTTCCTTCCTTCTTTTCTTCCTTCTTTTCTTCCTTCCTTTCTTCCTTCCTTCCTTCCTTCCTTCCTTCCTTCCTTCCTTCCTTCCTTCCTTCCTTCCTTCTTTCTTGTTATGTTTATTTTTCAAGATAAGGTTTCTTTGTGTAGTCTTGGCAGTCCAGGACTCACTTTGTAGACCAGGCTGGCCTCAAACTCACAGAGATCCACCTGCCTCTGCTTCCCTGAGTGATGGGATTATAGGCATGTGCCACCATGCCCAGCTGCATACTAATTTTCTTAGCAACTGCTATTTGCTTCTCTGTTTCATTCAGAGTATAAACTACCTTGGCAGGACTCTCAGCTACACAAGTATTGATGCACCTGGCTCCCCCCCGTGTTGCTGGTGAGCTTGTAAGTATGTGATGGTATAGGACTCTGAAACTCGTCTTTCATATGACAAGGGAGTGATTCATGGGAAATATGGGCCTCATTCTGCTGGTGTGTGGATCTAGGAAGTACCTTACCTCGAGCATGGCAAATGGCATTTGGGAGCTCCTTAAGACGATTATGGCGGCAATCAAGAACTTCCAGGTTTGGCATTGACCCCAAGGATTCTGGCAGCTGTTCCAGATCGTTGTTTTCTATGTATAGTTCTTTAAGATTCTGCCATAACATGATAGTGTATGGTGAAGATACTTATGTTGATAATTGAATTTCAATAACCAGACTTACCTGTGTGTATGTGTGTGTGTGTGTGTGTGTGTGTGTGCGCGCGCGCGCATGTTCGTCCATTCCTGAGAGCTGGGACAAGGGAAGAAACATGCTTGTTGTTTGGATCTGAAATTTCCCTCAAGGCTCATGTTTTCATTGCCTATTTCCCTATTCGTGGTGCTTCTTGAAGCTGATCAAGCCTTTGAGAAGTGGGCCTGACTGGTAGAATCAAGCCCGTACACACAAGCCTTTGGAGGTCACACCTGCACCTAGCTTTTGTCTAGCTCTCTTGGCTTCCTTTCTGCCAGGATTAAGGAACCTCTGCCACACCTTCCTGCTGCCATTGACAAAGCCACTCCTGCCATGATGCTTTTCCCACTGCAGTGGACTGAAATCCCTCCAATGTGAGCTGAAATAAACCAATACCTCCTTGGATGGTTTTACTCCTAGTGAGGTGTATTGGTCCCAATGACAAAAGAAATTTATAGAATTTATTTACAGAATTAATATCAGGCAATATAATTGCTTTTGAGTAAAGCCATTGGATTTAGTGTCCATTTATGCATGAAAAGTAGAATACTGTGAGTCACTGTATTAACATCTAAACAATGTCATTATCAAGGGGTTACTTATGAGAGATATAAGTTAAATAGAAAATGGTATGAGTCAATTTCTACAAAACATACCGAAATACAGTAGAAAGACATATTGAAGAGCCACCAAGTCAATGGTGGCATGAAACTTATGGGGGTAACCAAGAGCTTTCTGCTAGACTCTAAGGTCTACTTCACAGGAGGGAATGTATACCTGGTACTATAAACCTAGTCAAAAGCCTGTGGCTGTAGAGGTCATAGGTGCTTAGTGAAGAAACTATTACTGTTGTTTTTCTAAATGCTCTTGTTGTCAATTGTCTTTATAATGCTTAGATTTATCCCACAGATTAGTTCTGCCCTCAACTTTGGCCAGAGAAGCTTTTTTTTCTGTAGTGGACAACAGTCAATGTAAAGACTCATAGCTGGTCAAATGGCTGAAAAGTGGATTTAAGTGTCCTAAATAGGACATCAATATCAATCCCATCAAACTTGGGACTGTAATAGAAGAGGAGGTAGAAAGAAAGGTAGAAGATGGGGGGAGAGGGAGTGCTGTGAAGTGCTGTCTTCTGGACATGACATAACTTATGAATTCACAGAAGCTGTGGTTGTCTCACAAGACCTGCCCAAGATCAAATCCCATGAAGGTCAGACATCATTCTAGCCAGCAGCAGTAATGGACACAGTGGTGTTGTTTTAAAGAAAAGAAATGGACATGAAGGTTGGAGGGGTGCTGACACAAACTAGAGATGTCTAAAAGGAGAGAACAATAATTAAGAAAATGCCTCCATAACTTTCAGCGGTAGGGGCATTTTCTTAATTCGTGACCATGGGGGAGGGGCCCAGCCTATTGTAGATGGTGCCATCCCTGGCCTGGCGGTCCTGGGTTCTATAAGAAAGCATACTGAGCAAGCCATGAGAAGCAAGGCCAGTAATCAGCATCCTTCCATGGCCTCTGCATCAGCTACTGCCTGCAGGTTCCTGCCCTGCCTGAGTTCCCACCTTCACAGCTTTTGACGATGAACTAATGTGGAACTTCGAGTGAAACAGACCCTTTCCTCCCCCAAGTTGCTTTTGGTCATGGTGTTTCATCACAGCAATCGTAACCCTGAGACAGAGACAGATGTATTGAGGGTTATCTTGGGGGGATAAGCAAGGAAGTTGGGGTGGATTGGATGAAGATGCATTGTATATATGTATGAAACTGTCAGAATAAATAAATGATATCTTTTTTTTTTTTAAAAGACATTGAATAACAAGCACAGTAGACGTGGGGGCTTTACACAGTAACAGCGAGAGGCTCAAAATGTGAAACACCCTGGGACCGAAAAATCTATTGCAGATTCATCCTTTACACAATGAAGGAGACATTGCCCCATGCTCTCTGCTGTCAGTGGGGTGGGGGTGGCATGGCTTCTCCGCTGTTCACTGGGAAGGGCTTACCTGCAGTATGTTGATGTTTTCTGGCAGTATGGAAAGTTTGCATCCCTGGTCTTGTCCAAAGTGTAATTTCTCCAGAGATGGTAGGGAAAAGATTTCCTCTGGGAAGGTCTGGAAGTAATTTCCTGTGAGCCCAAGTGTCTTCAGTTTTGAAAGTGAGCCCAGAGACGATGGTAACTGGAAGTATTCCAAAAGGCTAAAGTTAAGGTTGAGCTTGTTTTTAAACACTCAAAAATAAGTTCCCTGGGTGGTCTGGAGGTAGTAGTTTACCAATAGTGACATCACTGTCAAAAAGTTGTATATAAACACCCAGCACTGAATTTACCTGGCTTTATGACAAGAATTTAAAAAAAAAAAAAGTTGAGTTTTTGGCTTTGAAACAAGTTGCTAAACAAAAAGTAGAGGTGCTTAGCAATGGACAGCATCTATATCTTACTATATCGTTTACATAAGTACTAGTTAATTTACCACGTGTTTGCAGACCAGCAGTCTGGGGTTCCACATGTATTTGGTTTGGGGTAAAGCACATCTCTTCTGCTTTTTCACCTTCAAACATTATGTACACACATCCCTCTCCAAACAATGCACCTAGCAAGCTCAGAAAACCTGGACACCCCCCCCCCCCGAGCAATGAATGAGCACCCTCACTGCTGTTGTCTATATTCTGTTTCATCACTTTGCTACAGTGAGATCACCTTGCTTCTTTTATAAATTGGTGTGGGCTCTCATTTTCAAATCTTTGGATGAGAAGTCCAAGAACCTGAAAACATAGGGTCAGACCTTGGCCATTGCTAACACTGCCTCCCCCCTGTTTTTTTACAAGTTGGGTCAATTTATGTTGCTTCATTGTAAATGAGCTCCTTAGGGAATGTCAAATTCTTGATACTGTTGGAAGAAAAGGCACTATAATTATATGGAATATTGTACAATAATATTTGTAATACATTTATTTCTTGGAGTTGACACATTTAGCGACATCTGCTTCTTTGGTCCCAAGGTCTTTCACCTGACAATTTTGAAACTTTTGTTGAACTCAGTTGGAAACAAACACATGTCAGTGTTTCTAATTAGGATGTTTCCTGTAGATACTGGGATCCATCTTGTTATGTTTTGCCTTCTTTTGAACACCAAGGCTTTTCTGCCTTATTTGGGAGTTAAGTGGTTATTTTGCAAACTACCAGACTTTAAAAGAAAGCCTTAAGAAGATCCTGTGTTCTAGCCTTCCGATACAGTGGCTGAATGTGCTCCTAGCTAGCTATACAGCCCTCTTTTCCTCACCACTTCCAGGATAGAAAAGAGCATCACTTTAAGTGGAAATTCTTATTAAGCCACGGTTCGAATCATTGTCAGTTTTACTACTTTTCTCATTCTGGTCCTCTAGAATTTCATGGAAAAATCTTACTCTAACTTATATAAACACCCTACTCACTGGACAACAAATATGCTTTCCTTTATTGTTAGAAAGAAAATTCTAGATGTGTACTCAATAATTTCTTTTTTATTAATTAATTCAATTTGCATCTCAGTCATAGGGCCCTTCCTCCTCTCTTCCCAGTCCCGCCCTCCCTCCTGCATCCCCTCTCCCCTATTCCTCAGAATAGAGGAGCCCCCTTATCCAGACACCCCAGCTCATCTAGTCACATGAGAACTGAGCTCATCTTCCTCCCCTGTGGCCTGGTAGGGAAGTCCCATCAGGGGGAAGTGATCAAAAAGCAGGCAACATAGTCCACGTCAGAGATATCCCCCATTCCCCTAACTAGTGGGCCCACATGAAGCCTAAGCTTCCCATAGGCTATTTATAAGTAGATGACCTAGGTCCAGACCATACATTGTCCTTGGTTGGTGTTTCAGACTCTATAGCCCCCTCTGGGCTCTGGTTTATTGGCTCTGATGGTCTTTTTTGTGGAGCTTTTGTCACCTCTAGGTCCATATATTCTTCTCCCCCTTTTTTCCAGTAGATTCCCTATGCTTCACCCAATGTTTGGCTGTGAGTCTCAGCATCTGTTTCAAGCTGTTGCTGGGCAGATCCTCTAAGAGGACAACTCTGATAGGCTCTGTCTGCAAACATACCGGAGTATCCTTAACTGTGATAGGGGTTGGCTTTCTTGATGGGTGGGTCTTACGGTTGGGCCTGGCATTGGTTGGATGTTCCCTCAACCTCTACTCTGTCTGTCTGTCTTTGTCCCTGCAGGTCTGGTAGGTAGGGTAAATTTTGGATTGAGGTTTTAGTGGTTGGGTTGGTGGTCTCCTCCATCCACTAGGAGTCTTGTCTAGATAAAGGGTGTGCTCTTCAGTTTCCATGGTCCCATCTTCTAGGAGTCTTAGCTAGAGTCCCCCTCATATCCTCCTGTGGGCCTGTTCTGATTTAGGTCTGCAGCTTGTCGCAGAGATGCTCCTGCCCGCCATTTCTCTTTTCTCTGCAGGTCTTCTGTGCTCCTGCCCCTACTCTCCCCAGGTCTGATTCCACCCCTATTGCTCTCTGCACTCCCTCTTCTACCTTGTTCCCACTCTTCAACCACTACCTCTGTCTGTTCTATTTCCCCTTCTGAGTGAGATTTACGTGTCCTCCCCTGAGTCCTCCTTGTTACTTATCTTCTTGGGGTCTATGCATTGTAATATTTCTATCTTGTATTGTATGACTAAAATCTACCATACCATGTGTGTCTTTCTGGGTCTGGGTTACCTCACTCAGAATGATCTTTTCTAGTTCCATCCATTTGCTGGCAAATTTCATAATTTCCTTGTTTTTTTAAATACTTTATTAATTACACTTTATTCACTTTGTATCCCCCCTGTGGTTCCCTCCTTCCTCCTGTCCCAATCCCTCCCTTCCTCCACCGTCTGCATGCATGCCCCTCCCCAAGTCCACTGATAGGGGAGGACTTCTTTTCCTTCCTTCTGATCCTAGTCAATTAGGTCTCAGCAGGAGTGGCTACAGTGTCTTCTTCTGTGGCCTGGTAATGCTGCTTCCCCCTCAGAGGGAGGTAATTAAAGAGTAGGCCAATCAGTTTATGTCAGAGACAGTCCCTGTTCCTATTACAATGGAACCCACTTGGATACTGAACTGCCACGGGCTACATCTGTGCAGGGGCCTTAGGTTATCTCCATGCATAGTCCTTGGTTGGAGTATCAGTCTCAGGAAAGACCCTTATGCTCAGATTTTTTGCTTTCCTAACCAGAAAGGCAAAGAGGATGGACATCAGAAGAAGTAGAAAAGAGGGAACAAGTCAGGAGCCTGACACAGAGGACCTCTGAAAGGCTCTGCCCTGCAGACTATCAGTGCAGATGCTGAGACTTATAGGCAACCTTTGGGCAGAGTGCAGGGAATCTTATGAAAGAAGTGGGAAACAGTAAGATCTGGAGAGGATAGGAACTCCACAAGGAGAGCAACAGAACCAAAAATTTCCTTGTTTTTAATGGCTGAGCAGTATTCCATTATGGAAATGTACCACAATTTCTGTATCCATTCTTTGGTTGAGGGACATCTATGTTGTTTCCATTCCTGGCTATTCATAATAAAGTGGCTAAGAACATGGTTGAGCAAATGTCCTTGTTGTTTGATAGAACATCTTTTGGGTGTATGACCAAGAGTGGTATAGCTGGGTCTTGAGATAGCACTATTCCTAATTGTCTGAGAAAGCGCCAGATTGATTTCTGGAGAGGTTGAACAAGTTGCACACCCACCAGCAATAGAGGAATGTGCTCTTTTCTCCACATCCTCGCCAGCATGTGTTCTCACTTGAGTTTTTGATCTTTGCCATTCTGACAAGTATAAGATGGAATCTCAGAGTCATTTTGATTTGCATTTCCCTGATGACTAAGAAAGTTAAGCATTTCTTTATGTGCTTCTCCACCATTCGAGATTCCTCTGTTGAGAAGTCTCTGTTTAGCTCTGTATCTCATTTTGTAAATTGGATTATTGAGTTGGTTGGTGTTTAATTTCTTGAGTTCTTTATATATGGACATTAGCCCTTTGTTAGATGTAGGATTGGTGAAGATCTTTTCCCAGTCTGTAGGCTGTCATTTTGTTGTGTTGACAGTATCTTTTGCTTTACAGGAGCTTTTTAGTTTCATGAGGCCCCATTTATTAATTGTAGATCTTAGAACCTGAGCTGTTGGTGTTCTGTTCAGGAAACTGACTCCTGTGCCAATGAGTTCAAGGCTCTTCCCCACTTTCTTTTCTAGAAGATTTGGTGGATTTGGGTTTTGTGTAGGGCGAGAAATATGGATTTATTTGCATTTTCTACATGTAGATACCTAGTTAGAACAGCACCATTTATTGAAGATGTTGTCTTTTTTCCATTGTATAGTTTTGGCCCCTTTGTCAAAAATCAGATGTGCAATAGGTGTGTGGGTTTATTTCTGGGTCTTCAATTCAATTCCATTGATCAACCAGTCTATTTTTATGCCAGTACCATGCAGTTTTTATCACTATTGCTCTGTGGTATAGCTTTAGGTCAGGTATGAGATACCTCCAGAAGTTCCATTATTGTAAAGGATTGTTTTAGCTATTCTGGGTTTTTGTTTTTTTTTTCCATATGAAGTTTAGAATTTCAATTGTGTGGGATTGCATTGACTCTGTAGACTGCTTTTGGTAATACTTTTTTTTCACTATGTTAATCCTACCAATCCATGAGTGTGGGAGATCTTCTCATCTTCTGGTATCTTTTTCAATTTCTTTCTTCAGAGACTTGAAGTTTTTGTCATACTGGCCTTTGACTTGATTGGTTAAAGGTCCTCCTACTTCATATTATTTGTGGCTGTTGTGAAGGGTGTGGTTTCCCCAGTTTCTTTCTCAGCCTGTCATTTGTATACAGGAGAGCTGATTTTTTTTTTTTTTTTTTTTTTTTTTTTTTTTTTTTTTTTTTTTTTTTAGTCTTGTATCTAACCACTTTGAAAAAGCTCATCAACTGCAGGAGTTTTCTGGTGGAATTTTTGGGGTTGCTTATGTATACTATCATATTATCTGTGCACAGCAATACTTTAACTTCTTCCTTTCTGATTTGTATTCCTTTGATCTTCTTTAGTTGTTTTATTGCTCTAGCTAAGACTTATGGTACTATATTGAAGAGATATAGAGAGAGTGGGCAACCTTGTCCCTAATTCTAGTGGGAATGCTTTGAGTTTCTCTCCATTTAGTTTGATGTTGGCTATCAGCTTGCTGTATATAGCCTTTA